GCAAATTAAAATTTTTATTATGATGACAGAGTAATATTAAGGTAATTAAGAAATTAATTAGGCGATATAATATATATTTATTTCCGGTCAGTCTATGGGCTGGCCTCCAAGAAGTGGTTGGGTTAGTTACCTTCCCCTTCAGCTCTTTCCTTTTAACCATTTGCACAGCCTTTAAAGTCTGACCGGCGTGAAAACGGGCAGTTAAGCTTGTCTGTTTATATTATATATATGAACCTTCCAATAAACTGACAAAGAGATGTACCTAAATAGAAAATAATGACTCATATCTTTCAAATCTCAGGCTTTATATTTTATTATGTTACGTGTTTTGATATAAAGTCATATGCATAATTGTTGCGTGAGGGATGATTCACAGTGTTAGAGTGATAACATAACATTTTAGTGTTGTACGAAGATCTAACAAACACACAAATAGTATAGAAATAGTAAAAGATTATAAGAGTTTCGTTTAGGATTTGAGGGTCTTAATGACCTCAAAATTGAGTTCGAGCTTGATGGATTCTTCTCATCGAGATGGTCGATTTGACTATAAGTATGTCAAGTTTGGAGTTCATTTGACGTTTCAATTAATCACCCGAAGCCTCTAAATTTGCTTTAATATTTTATTTCAATCATCGGGTTCGTCTTGTCAAGGCGATCAGTTTGACAACAAACTTATTGTAATTAGAACACTGAATGATCTTGAAGTTGAATTTTGAATGTCTGTTACTTAAGAAAATGCACTGAGATTAATGCTCCTTGGTAACAATTTATTGAAGTTTGATAACAAACTTATTGTAATTAGAACCCTGAATGATCTTGAAGTTGAATTTTGAATGTTTGTTACTTAAGAAAACGCACTGAGATTAATGCTCCTTGGTAACAATTTATTGATGACACGTCAATGATGGCAATCTTTTTGGTTTTACGAGTGAAACATTAGAAACAATCCAAATAAATGAGATATTAAAGATTTCTTATTAAATTTCTATCTTTTTCAAACTTTCATAATTCCATTATTTCAATATCACACGTGCTATTTTTTTATTTATTTATTACTTTTGATCATATAAGTTGTTTGCATGTCCCATGCACATATACATGTGTCATATATGCTTTAATTTGATGTTATATTATAAAAAAAATGGCGAACTATGACCTTTTCTCTAATTAAATTGACAGAGTTTGTTCAACAACCCAATAAAATGATATTATGATCTAAGGTGTTAATTTTTTTATGATGAGCAATACCTAATCCTCTTTTTGTGAAAGTATTAAGAAATAATTTTATTGTTTTTTTCTTTAAGTGGTTTAGTGCCTTGAAATGTTTTTTTTTATTTAATTTAATTTGAAAAGTGTGGACATTAATGTTTACCTAAACTTATTAAAGAGGAAAAAGGAACTTATGCTAAACCTTAGTGAGTTTCCTCTAAAATAATTCGTCAAATAAATTGTTGAATCCATTTAGGATGTAGGTGGGTCGTATATCATTTGTGAGTACATAAAATACGGTAAAAAACCTTGTTTCGTAGAAAGAGGAAACCTATTTAGAACTTTAGAAAATATGTTAATTCCAAATCTTTGGCAAGTTGAAGCGAAACGACTCATCGGAGATTCCTTGAGTTATAAGTCTTAGAGAAAGAGAGAGAGAGAGAGAGAAAGAGGAAACCTCTCCCTTCTATCTTTTTCCTTTCTCTTTTATACATAGTAGAGGAAATCCATCAAAGTAGTACATTTTGCATTTTTCGTATTTTCTTTGCGCTATCCCAATGAAAAGAGTGTGATGTGAATGTCAGGTATTGCAAGTTGATGTTAGATCTTAGTTCAAGATCTATTGCCGATGGATATCGAATATTGCTGATATGACAGCCACTTCGATACTTGGGTGAAAAGATAGAATCTCAAATGTCGAGAGACGCCTTTAAATAAGGAATTGACGAATGACTTTCGTAGTCATGATGACTCCCTTTGACAGTTGTCTTAGCATAGGCGGGCTAGTTTAACCTTTTCAAAAAAAATGAGAGTTATTTGATTGACTGGCAAGCTCGGTTCAACCACTTTCGTTGGTAGGCTCAGTTTAATCACTTCGACGGGCAGACACATTTTAACAAGATAAAATATCAATGAAAACTTTTGTATGCCCATATTTGTATATACATAAATTAATAGCATTTTTTTAGAGTGATTTACAAATATTTCACTTAATTCCTATATATTTACATATCTAATTCCTTAACTTCAATTTTTTACATATTCCACTTTATAAAAGTCATAATAGTGGTGTTTTTATGTGATACGAAAGATTTGGGTGTTGTAAATTGTAAAAAATAAAGCTTAGGTGTTATATATATAACAAATTAGTTGGTGTACATGTAAATGCCCCCCATTTTTAATGCCTTTTTTTTTAATAAAAGGTTAAAATAAAATATTATAAACTAAGAAATATTCTTTTGAGTTACCAAGCAATAAATCATAATGAAATATGAGGTTGAAATAGTTCAAATTCTCTTCAAATTGAGTCTGAAATAATCTCCATACAGGACTACTGCAGCTGAATTTAAAAATAACAAGTGATTATTTTGACACTTCTATATACTCAGAAGACTAAAATAATCCCATATAAATAGTCGGTGATTATTTTGACGCTTTAATATTTTAAATAAACAAAAAAAAACAATATATTAAAGCTCATCAATATCAAGTTCATGCACTTTTCAATGGAATTATTTATAATTATTTTATAATGTGTGTGACAATTTCATATTGAATGTACATGACTTTCGAAGGTTGAGGGTACATATTTGCTAAATTTTGCAGTGGAATTGAATGCTGACAGTACTTGTAAAAATATTGATTATGAGGGGTTGAATTGAATGATTTTTTTTGGCTGGTCGCTGCCTCCACTGCTGTCCTTTTTTTCCAATATGAGCTAAAAAATTTAGGCCCCGAGAGATCTTTCACTTTTCATTAATTCAATAAAAAAATTATCTTGTCCTTTTTTTTTTCATGTAAATCATAAATTGAATGATTTAAATTTATGAATCTTCTACACATTATTTTTTCCTTTAATCATAAGCAATAAATTCTTTCTGTTTCCAGCAATTTTTTTGCAGAGTTCTGAAGAAAAAAAAAAACAATTTTTAATATTTTAATTTATTATGAATATTATCAAAATTATATTTATTAGCACAATCATTAAGTTTTTGGTTTATGGACTCTACAATATATTATATTCTTTAATTAGAGTCCGCCAAAGGCCGACGACCCAATTTTTAATTTTTTAATTTATTATAAATATTATCAAAATTATATTTATTAGCATAATCATTAAGTTTTTGATTTATGGACTCCTTTGAGTTAATGGTATTAAAATATATTGTATTCTTTAATTAGAGTCCGCCAAAGGCCGACGACCATCAAACATCAAATGCGAATGAGTTGCCCTAACCACCGCTCGATCAGTGGGATCCAATGAGTTGATCATATTTGATCAAAAGAGGGCATGATCTAAACCGTTCAGTTTCGGCTTATTTATGAAAGACACTATAATGAAAATGATCAAGACGCCCATCCTAGATTTATAAATGTGTCATCATTCTACATTTTTGTGGACAAAAATTAAACATAAAGCTAATGTGAAGTTCATAAATTGTGGAAATTGACTCCGCAAAGAGATTATCCGAATCAATTTCAATCACTCTATGACTCCACTCTAGACAACCCAATTTCTCTCAATAAACAACCCAAATCTCTCGAGATTGTTTGTTGCTTTGAAACGACTTCATCAATCATCTCTAATTGCTTGATGACTCTAGGTCATCCAATCCACCTTACTCTATAAGGCGAAATTTTTTTTTTTGTGTCGTCGTGCGAGATTATTAACATTAATATACCTTGAAGTTAATTCACCACCACTCAATGGACAATCATTATCATTCTAGATTTCTATATTATAATAATGGCAATAAGTTTAGTGAAAGGTCACCCTTAGTATTTTAGAACTATTAACTAGTAAGAATAATTTCAACTAGATTAAATTTAATAGTCCAGACTTTCACCCATCGAGATATTACCTGTTTTTATCCAATTGAGGCCACCTATCCAGGAGTGTTCCAACATGGGCATGCATAACTTTGATTTTTTTTAATAAAATTTCAACAATTATACAAAAGAATACATCAATATTTAGGCTTAGGTTCATTTCTATTAGGGTTTCACAATAAACTAGACTGAGTTTCCAGCAAATATTTATGTAAATATCATAAGTGATGGCTCTACCTGTCTAATTGCATGGTTCAGCATTCGAAGCAAAGCAATAAATGCTCTCCGACAACACAATCGTGCACCACAGAGTGTGTCTCTACATACAATTGTGGAACATTAACATTATCTACCTAATTAAAAATTCCAATTCATGACCTTCAAATATGAGATTAAAATCATAGATACTCTTTAACATCATCACCAAACAAATGCTTAGATATGATCACTACCACATACTCATTCTAGAACAAATTAGCCCATATGGTAAAAACCTAACCATTGTGAGCTTGTGCAACAGTGAACCTCTGCGGGCCGGCCCGCACATCACTGGGTCTGTTTGGTACAAAAGTGTCTACTTATATCATGATTTTATTTGAGGAACTATTTTCTCACTGCTTTTTAGAAATTATTGTGGTAAAATGAATTAGGTGTAGGAAAACTTCTGCCAATTTTTTTGTAAAAAATAATTTATTATAATCCACACGACAGCTTTCTAAGAAATTAACTTTATCACAATTTCATGACGACTTTAACAAAAAAAAAAAAATTGTACCCATCCCAAACTAATCCTAAGATGTTATGACGCTTCGGATAATGGTGTGGTCGTGCGTATAGGTATTAAATTCATAAAAAATAGAAACAAAAATTTAAATAGAACTCTAAATGAGGATGATAAAATGTCTATGATACTAAGGACCTGCTACAGAGATTCAAGTAAATGCATCTATAAAAGGCAATTATAGAATTACATAGAAGGCCACTGAAGTTATTCTTTTCAATTCACATTTTGATCTTTACAGGCAACTAAATTCAGTTATTAAGTGTGCTAAAACACACAAAAAAAAAAAAAAAAGGGTGGGAAGGCAGATGGAATATGAATATAGGAATGAAACAATTGCATGAATCGAAAAAAGAGCCTACTGACGGCGAATATTGGAGCCTCGAATTGTAACACCATGCAAAAATTTAGTGTAGCCGAGAAAGCTGAGCTTACCGTCTGAAGGTCTGATCCATTCTTGAATAATAGAGTACGCAGTTGTAGCCAGATTCATTTCCTGCAGAATGAAATTTGGAAGATTTACATACATACCACTCAGTTCCTATGTACTTACAAATTTAACATCTAAACTTCAGTTTTTACATATTTCACCCCACGTATGCATGAAAATGTTGGTACTTTTGATGTGATACGAAAGATTTGGGTGATAGAAAAGTAAAAAAAAGCAAAGTTTAGGTGTTCGAGATTTAAAATAGATTGGAAATTTTGATTGTTAAGAGCAGGAGAAATTAGGTTATTAGATAGATACTTGTGCAAGCTCTTCAACTGTGATGACTCTGTTGCCTTCCTGCTCAAAAAATTCAAAAGCTTTGATGGCCATTTGTTCCCATCCATCCAAAGCTTCCAGCTGATATGGACTAATGGCCGCAGCACAGAACTCTTCAAAGTCCATTCTTCGGCTAGAAAGAGGTTCCAACTGTAATTAAGAAAAAAAAAAAATCAGTTAAGATCTTATTTATTGTACTTTATTTTGTTTATTTTACTAGAGACTGAAAAAAATATATAAGCATGATTACCAATTATGCGTTGAAAATATGGACTTTATTTTGATCAGATTTCATGTTCACATTAGAAATTTTAATCGAGCATTTGATATAATAAAATAAGCAATATAAAGATGAATATTTTGATAAAAATTTGTTTCACTTGAACTAAGGTGACCTTATTCATATTTAACAACATACCGGTCATAAAAATGTGTCTGCATAAGGCTGAACGAGATAAGCTGCATAACCAGTTGGAACCATTTCCAATTGGTTATGCAGACTATTTTCTTTTTTTATATTAATTTGGAAATAGCATATTCTTCCATGAATAATTCACTCAATCAGGCGCATAAAGGAAAAACCATAATGAGAAAAAAATAAGAACTAAGAAAAAAAAATAATAGTATAATGTATAAACTAATGAGCAGATGGCGCACCATATTCAATATATCAGGAACCTTGGACTCTTTCATTGATTCGGTAGCATTTCTTAAGAGTGCCTGCATGTGTTTCGCATTAGTTTAATTGAATATAATCTATTCCTTCCAGGTAATTTAGGCATCAAAACAAGCACACAAAATCAACATTTTCCTGTAAAATAGATACAACAAAAACATAAATACCGACAAAGGAAAGTAACGTCTACTGATCCAGACATGTAGACAAATGTGCTTATTTGCAAGCAAAACATACTTTCGCAAGCTAAATACATAAGGGGCATTTACCTAAATACCACATAATTCCTATGTATTTACAAATCTAACACCTAAACTTTCATATATAAATACATAACACTCAAATCTTTGATATCATATCAAAAACACCACTATTATTTTCCTTTTAAAAGTGAAGTACACCTTTTCATGCATAGTTATAACGCCTAAGCATTATAAACGTAAATATGAAAGTTTCGGTGTTTGCTATGTAAATGCATAGGAATTGGGTAGTATGTATGTAAATTTCCCATATACATAACGTAGATCAAAGCATGCAGAAGAAGCCAATAAGAAGATTTTAGATTCTCATGGCAAAAACTAACCATTTTAAAATTATCGATGGATATGCGCCCATCCTTGCTTGGTTCTAGCAACCTGAACTGGGACTTGAGGTATAAAAGCTCATCCTCCGTTAGAGCTTTAGAGAGGGACTGACATTGAGAAAAAAAATCAGAGTATATAAATTTGAAAAGAAAAAAAGATTTCTCATAGAAGTAATTGAGTTTCATGAAAAACTCATTGGCGGGGATGAAGCACAATTGAAACAAAGAGTTAATCAAATTGTTCGATGTAATGCAAAAGATTTGTGGATTTGACATTTTTTAGTACATCTATTTGTCTATGATGAAAAACACATTAGATACAGCCTCAAACTTCGAATGTTACCAAGCCATACTACATCAGCTTGCCGGTTTAAAAATTTCTTTTTTGTTCGTTTCCTTCCTAGTTTCATAGCATATTTAGTTTGCATCAAATTTGTGACATAAAGACCACTCAGCAAATTTGTGGTACATTCAAACATTTCAATATTTCATAAATACAAATCCACAAGTTTTAGTACTACAAAAATTTTCAATCTTTAAAAGTAGAAAACAACATTCCCACCACAGAATCCTTTTATTCATGCAAATAAAAAGTGTGATCCCGAACATTTCTTCCAAGCAAGAAAGCGGTTCAAATGCAGAGAACTTTGCAGGGGAGCTAAGAACTTCGTGTGCGTGTGTATTTTACACGAATGTCAATTCAACCTTATATGTCTAAGATTTATTGATGTAAAGGTGTATTCTCTAATAGAGCAACTACAATGCCCAACCCTTATATTTGCACTCTGACATAAGTCAAACCTTGGAAAAAGTAGTCCAAGCAAGAGGTGAATGCGCAAGAAAACTTTTAAAATACCAATAATTTCTCACATGAACATACCTTTAGCGCAGCACGCTTGAGAGGTGTGGCACGGATATATGATTTGACTAACTTAAATATAATAATATCGAGAGAGGCTTGCCTGTTTCCATCCCACAACCAAGGATGAGCTGCAATGCAAAATTTCTTGCAAGTCTTAGGTAATGAAATGCACAAACAGAACTTTCACAAAGTAAGGCTTTAAAAAAAAAATCTAAAATTTTTAATGTTAATTATTTTCAAGCATAAAAATGAAAATGAAAAAAAGCATAATTTTGATATCATATAGACAGAATCTATTCACAACTCAAAGAAAACTAGCATTGCCAATGTCAAGCTTAAATTAAGAAAAAAAGGCTGAAGTTACTATTAGTCGGCCGATTATAAAACTCATGGACCCCAATTGTTGTGAGAAATAAACAAGTTTTAGCTTGAATAACATTCATAAATTATACATCAAAACTTAGCCTGATTGTGATGAAAATAAACAAGGGTTAGCTAGAATGTTTCCTAAAAGAGAAATGTGATCACTTACTTCATTTATGAAAAAAGATATGCAAGGGTTAAATAAATTTAAAACTGAGATTAGATTCCTTTGATGGCATTTAGAGTTTTAAATTGAAAGAAAAAAGAATTAGTGAACACAGCAATTAGAAGATATAAATCACATTTGTTTATGGGTTATGTTTAGTAATAGATGTGGTGTTAGGATAACAACTATTAAATAGTTGAAAACGAAAAATGTTCAGTTGAAAAATTTTAGTGATAGGGTTATTGTTATCAAGGTAACTATTCGTGAATAAATTATAAATGCGGCTAGTATTTATGCTTTTAAAATTGGGCTCAAAGATAGGTTCAAGGACCAATTCTAATAGTCGAACTAATAAAAACTAATAATTGAGGAAGAGAAAATTCTATTAAGATTGACTTAAAAGAACATGAAGTATTTTTTAGGATGAGCTATAAAAAGATTCATAATGGATAGGAAATAAAAGATAAAAAAAAATACAATAGAAAAAATTATAATTGGTTTCACATTAGCCTTATGGTATTACAATAACACTTCAAAATGTAGAGTATTTTTTTTTCAAAGCAGTGAGGCAATTCTTGGAGAAAGTTTGACCATACATGATAAAATAACAAATAGAAACATATAATAAAAGTATAAAGATAATTATAAAACAAATAATAGCAAATGAATTTGGTGGAACCTTAAATATGAGAAATTGCTAATCTTTCAAGATATTATGCAATTAGAAGAAAATTGATATTATTTAGTTGAGCCCAACATGTGCGATAAGTAGAAGATTGTCATAGAAGTTTTACAAGAATAATAATACATTCATACAAATAATGTTTGGCGGAGTAAAGAAGCAAAATAAGCGGTGCAAGAAAATTGCCTTTAAAAAAAGACAAGATAAAAATAGCTTACAACAACTATGAATAAAGCAATAATTCTTTAAAAAAAAGTAAATAAAAAAATCTATAATTAAGTATATAATAATATCATAAGCTTATTACTAAACAAACAACAACAACAACAACAACAAAAGCCTTAATCCCACTACGTGGGGTCGGCTACATGAACCCTTTTTCTCCACTGTGTCCTATTTAGTGTCATATTTTCATTTATTTCTAATAAATTAAGATCATTTTTTATACGATAAGCCCAAGTCTTTCTAGTTCTACCTCTGTCTTTCTTAACATAAGTCGAATCTAAAACATCTACTCTCCTAATCAGATCATGAAATGGTCGACGTTTAATCTGACCAAACCATCTAAGACGACTCTCTAATTTTGTCTGTCACGGAGCTACACCAACCCTATCATGGATATATTCATTTTTTATTATGTCTCTAAGTATAAAGCCACTCATTCACCTAATCATTCTCATCTTGAAAACACTTAACTTAGTATTATGCTTCTCTTTTAAAGGCCAAACTTCAACGCCATTGAGCATTGCGGGTCTCACCACTATCTTATAAAATTTTCTCAGTCCAAGCGATGCTTTTCTATCACACAAGGCACGAAACACTCCTCCACTTGAACCAACCAACTTGAATTCTGTACATAAGTCGAATCTAAAACATCTACTCTCCTAATTGGATCATCAGATGATCGGCATTTAATGTGACCAAACCATCTAAGACGACTCCCTATAATTTTATCTATCACTGGAGCTACACCAACCCCATCACGAATATATTCATTTCGCATTTTGTCTCTAAGTGTAAAGCCAATCATCCACCTAATCAATCTCATCTCAGCCACACATAACTTAGTATTATGCTTCTCTTTTAAAGGCAAACATTTAGAGCCATAGAGCATTGCAGTTCTCACCACCATCTTATAAAATTTTCCTTTCAGTCTAAGCGATACTTTTCTATCACACAAAAGGCCTGAAGCACTCCTCCACTTCAACAAACCAACTTGAATTCTACTATTAACATCCCCATCCATATCCCCACCGCTTTGAGCAACAGACCCGAGATATCTAAATCGTTCACACCTTTTAATAATTTAATCACCCAAAGTTATACTTCTGCACTAGAGCTACTACTCTAAAATTACATTCCATGTGTTCAATTTTAGTTATACTCAAATGAAGGCCTTTAAACTCCAATATAGACCCCCATAATTTAAGATTTTTTTTGGGCTTTTTCTTTCGTCTTATCCACGAGAAGGATATCATCAACAAAAAGCATACACCAAGGTACATCCTCCTGTAAATGTCGAGTAAGACCATCCATAACTAAAGCAAAAAGATAAAGATATGGGCTTAAAGCCGATCTCTGATGTAATCAGACAGAAATAGAAAAATATTTGGTCAATCCTCCTTCAATTCGAACACAAGTAACAACTCTAGCATACATATCTTTAATGGCTTGAATATAAGTCATATCAACACCTTTCTTCTCAAGAACTCTCCAAAAGATATCTCTTGGAACCACTTTTTCTATAAACTTTTTCTAAATCAATAAAAATCAAATTTAGATCCTCCTTAATATCTCTGAACTTCTCTATCAAACCTCTCAATAAATGTATAGCTTCGATGTATAGCTTCCAAATAAACCTGCCCGACCTAAATCCAAATTGATAATGAGTGCACACTTGTGCATAAATCCTCTCAACACACGTCTTAACCTACCCTCTCCCATAATTTTAAAGTATGACACATCAACTTAATTCCTCTATAATTTGTACACACCTGTGCATCCCCTTTACTCTTAAAAATGGGGACTAAAATACTCTTCCTCCACTCCTCAAACATTTTTTTAGTTTTTAAAATAATATTAAGGAGTTTGGTCAGCCAAGAAACTCCCAAATCTCCTAAATATTTCGACACTTCAAGTGGGATATCATCAGGTCCAACTAACTTTCCACCATTTGCTTTCTTTAAAATCTCCTCAACTTTTTTTTTACTAATGCGGCGATAAAAATGAAACAGGTTATTATTATTAATGATATTAAGAACACTAAGGTAGATCGTATTTTCAGAAACTTCATTAAAAAGTTTAGCAAAATAACTCACCCACCTATGTTGAATATATTTTTCTAAATTTTTTTTTTTTGATTTTCATCTTTAATACACTTTACTTAGTTAAATATTTACTTTTCTCTTTTCTTTGTTTAACTAGTTTATATATATATATATATATCATCACCCTCCTTAGTATCTAATCTATATAATAAAGATCACTAAAAATAGAATTTTTAGCATCAAAATGGGGACCAAATATTTCGACACTTCAATTGGGATATCATCAGGTCCAACTAACTTTCCACCATTTGCTTTCTTTAAAGTCTCCTCAACTTTTTTTTTTACTAATGCGGCGATAAAAATGAAACAGTTTATTATTATTAATGATATTAAGAACACTAAGGTAGATCGTATTTTCAGAAACTTCATTAAAAAGTTTAGCAAAATAACTCACCCACCTATGTTGAATATATTTTTCTAAAAAAATATTTTTTTGATTTTCATCTTTAATACACTTTACTTGAGTTAAATATTTACTTTTATCTTTTCTTTATTTAACTAGTTTATATATATATATATATTATCACCCTCCTTAGTATCTAATCTATAATAAAGATCACTAAAAACATAATTTTTAGCATCATAAATTGTTATTTTAGACTTCATGTGGGCCGTTTGATATTTTTCCTAGTTTTCTAAGCTTTTACATTTAAACAAATTTTTATAACATAACTTCTTATATTTTGTATTTTTTTGCACATGTATTTTTATATTTTGTATTTTTTTGCACATTATTATTCCATCACCAACTATTTTTATTTCTAGAAACATTTTCTTTGATTCTCCAAGAATATCTTTTCCTACTTGTTTAATAGTGTTTGTTACTTTATCCCACATAGCTTATTACTATGAAAGAAGAAATATATATATATATATATAAAACAATATCTAGATATGAGAACAATAAACTTTAAATAAGTTTAACGAACTAGTGGCAAATATAATAATAACTTAGTTAAAAATGAAGAGGCAACTTTTACAAATTATTAAACAAGAGTTTTAATAAAATATTTTAGATCATAATGAAAAAAATAACACGTGATATTATCCATTGAACCAAAAAGGTGAAGCAGAGGTTGCTTTAAAGATGCATAAAGGAAACATTCAGTCTATATGAGATGCCTATAAGCATTTGAAAAGTTGAAGGATAATGAAGCAGTTTTATCCAGAGAAAAAGAATTCCAATGAAATTTTGGAGATCAAGAACATATCAATTGATTGAAGAATAAACATTTTTGGTATAAATATTTAAGAGCAAAGTTTTTCAAGATTGTGATAGTCATAAAATAATCAAACTTATTAATCTTACAATTAAATGATAGAAGATAAAACAAAGCATAAATAAGAAAAATTAAATTGATTTTGGATATGTTTTGGGTGATTGTAGCTTTTCACAAAAGTAGTTGCAAAGCTGTGGTGGATAAAATAATTTCTTAGAAAGTTAATTTGAGAATTATAAATACATTTTTTTTTCCAAAAAATCATTTATAACCAACACACTTCAAAGGGCTAGGTTGACAAAAACAATTTCCCACCAAAAAAATATTTTAGAAAACCGTTCCCCAAACAACTGTGATGATAATCTGTAACTCAAAATAGACAGAAAGATGTCCCAAACAAACCCTTAGTTTCATGCTAGAAAATTCAACACAAATCAATCATTTTGTTAAGATAGTTAATGAAAAGTATAGAATACAAAAAGAATCTTAAAATAAATTTTATTGATCTTGAGAAGACATTTGATCAAATGTCATAAAAATTGTTTGATGTGCATTAAGGAAGAAAGGTGTGCACCCAACATATATCATTATTATTAAAAGTATTATAATAAAATAATGACTAGTATTATAAGTAATACTGGAGCGACCAAAAATTTTCAAGTGTAGGAGCGAATTAATGATTTAACATTAACTATCTATTTTTTTGCATATGCTGGAGAGATAATAAAAAAATATTTAAAATGAGGTGCAATGAAGTAAACTCTTTACACACAACAATTCTAAATGATAATTTAGTAAATAAACTTGTACACCCGGTCAATAGCACACTACTTATCCATATGACACATTTACATTTTATTTATTTACATAACAAAACAAACTTGAACAAAATTTTGAAAGCTCAATCCACAAGAAAATAAATTAGAACATTGATTAGCTCATTCATTTACATTCATAAACGAACTTGTTTGTTATTTAACAAGTGGTTTCAAAAAAAAAGAAAAGAGGGTTTCAAATAATTTAGTATCTTATCTAATAACTTCAAAATTATTGCCTCAAGTTTCTCCCATCTTATTCACCTTAAAAATGATTTATATTAACGATGATATAAATAAGTATGATGGAAAAATAACATCAAGTAAATCGCCAAACAATTTGATTAATTTAAAATTTATCTTTAATCAGGAATTTAATTGAAAAAACAAAGTAGAAATAATGAGTAAAATAGTGTTAATTTTGAAAAATTTTATGAATTTCTTTTATGATCAAGAATAAGTTTTATTTTAAAATATTAAGTTTTTACATATTGTTACTTAAAACTCAGTTCAATTGGTTCAAGATCAATAAGAATAAATAAATTTGAATAAAATTTTAAAACTCAAGTCATATGTTGAACTCAATAATAAAAAATAAAAAAGAAATCAAGCTTGACCAATGCAATATTAGCCTTTATTTGGTTGATTTATAATCCAGCTAATCATCGGGACATCCTCTAAAAAAAAATAGTGAGAATAGAAAATAGGAGAAACTATTTAGAATATAGAAGCAAGGATCAATAAAATACATAAAGTATAAGAAAAACAGTTTTAGTGGGTGTAATATTGACAATTATAATTAATTATTATTAAAAGGCAGAGTGTTACTTAGGTCTGATTGTTTTAAGTGCAAATGCATCTACTGGACAAAATAATAGGCATAAAGCGTCTATATAACTTCTAAAATCTGAATGATTGACATTAAAAAAATGCCTAAAAAGTATTAGGCAATAAAATAATGTTGTCGTGACTTAAAAATATAATTTCTTTAAAAGAAGAACAACACAAATTATACTGTATGAAATCATATATTAGGCAATCAAGAGTTGATAATATCTAAATGAAGTGTGGTGGAAATGAAAATTTTTATACATAAATGTGTGGAAAAGTTATGAAGGACAAAGTAAGAAATATATATAGTAAATGAATTGCTGGAATAACATCTATGGAAGATTAAAAAACTTAAAAGTAAATTTCAGTGGTTTAGCATGGTATAATGAAGGGTAGAAAATACACCGATTAAATGAGCATATAAAATTAGCATTGAAGAATTATGAAAAAATTATTAGGAGTAAAACAGAATGGATAAACGTTGACATAAAGTTTGAAGTAGGTTCAACTTCTCATGCAACACTCAATAGAAATAAATGAAGAATGATAATTCAAAAGATGACACCAAACAACTACGAAAAGGCTAAGGATGATGAAAAATGCATGCCTAGGAACTTTGAAAAAAAAAAGAAAGTAATTTGAGAATATTGAGAGGCTTACTCAAAGCCTGTGCAGCCGTCATTCTCTTCCTATAATCTTTATTTAGAAGTCTTTTAACAAAGTTTTTAGCATCTATTGAAATGGTAGGCCATGGAGAATCATCAAAATTAGGATCAGCTCGCAGCACAGACCGAAATATTCCAGATTCTGTACGTGCCCAAAAAGGTCTGCTGCCACATAGCAAGATATATGTTATTACACCAATACTCCATATATCTGCTTCAGTATTATATGATCTATGCAAAACTTCAGGAGCAACATAATAAGCACTCCCAACAATATCATTTAATCTTTCATCTGCAAAAGAAGTAAAAAATGACAGTTACTTCTCAACCAACTTCAAGCTAAAATTGATGACAACATTCTATGGAAAAAATAACAATCCAAGAACACTAACAAAAAAATTTTGCATGAAAATTTAAATGAGTATTAGATAATGGAATTAGAGGTTTTGATCATCCAACTTAGGTTAAGAATACAAAACACAAGTTTTTCAATAAAACGTATTAAAGCTCATAACATAGAAAGGCACAATTCATAAACAATTATTAATGTAATGTAAGGAAAATATGTGATTAAATCCAAATAACGTGAAAGATAACTAGTCACCCAAAGAGTCACCATTTTAAACTAAAATAGTTTCATTCTTTTCATCATTATGATATTGGTAACAGTTTTTGAGGTAGTAACTACTACCATCTCTCCGAAAGTTCATTAATATACATGTAAATGGAAAACATCCATTCAAATAAAAGAGTAATAATAAGATCCACTGCGAAGTTCAGTTTCTTCTTGTATTTGAACTTTAGATCTAGTTGGTAAAAGTTAACACTAAGAGAACTTAAAAGAAACATCTACAGCATATACCAATTTTACAGAAACAAAGAAAAAGCTGCTGAAGCTACAATTTATTCCAGTCCTTACATTGACCAAAAATATTAGACCGAGTAGCACAATCAAAATATCAATTTCAGTCCATGCACTGTAAAGAAACTACCAGAGCATATATCTAATATATGGTCGCTTAACACCACAGTTATGTAAGAATTTAGTACCTGGTCGAATAAAATCTGAAAGACCAAAATCAATAATCTTCATGGGTGCATTTTCATCTCTACTAGTGAAGAGAAAGTTCTGTATACAATTTAAAAATACAGAATCATTATCATAAAAACAAGGCCCCAAGTTCATGCAAAAAATCAAATTCTAAAAACACTCTTTTTAGACCAAAAGTGGGAATCAGTCAAAATTCATCAAAAGCAAATAATCCAAACCTTGAAAAAAATATATAAGAATTAGTGAGACATACCTCCGGTTTTAGATCACGATGTACAACACCTTGTAAATGACAAAAGGCAACTACACTCAAAATCTGAGAAACAATTCCCTTTGCATCTTCTTCCATATACCTTCCACCTCTACCAAAACCAAGAAAAAACAAAAAAGTCAACAATAGACATAGCAAGAAGGTTTTAAACTAAGAATAACCTAGATTACCTGGATAAGATTCTATCTAACAATTCTCCACCTTCACACAACCTGACAAAGAAAAAGGAAACAGCAATAAATACAGGAAAACAATTCTCCTCCCATTAGTTTGAATTGGAATATTATAATTTAAAAACTAAATTTGTATTTTTAAACTATTTTGAATTTCTATGTAAGTATAAAAAATGATGAAAATGAATGAATAACAGAGTTTTGGTTGTATTTTATCCCAAATTGGGTTCCCTTCTCTTCCACTTGGTGATGGATGGCCCATGGAGGCATGGTGGTTTCCATGACATGATTGTATGATTTCTATGGAGAGAAATCACATATGTTATTTTTTTTTAATGCATCCAAATCCTTCTTCCATCATTAATAGGGAATGTTCCTTCCACCACAAGGCGGGTGATTGAAATGCATTGAAACTTCTGATTCCATGATCACGGTGACTTGATAGCTCTCCATAGCTACACTCCATACTCCATCTTCCACTCTAATCCATCTTATTACTCCTCCATCTTCCATCTCCATCATATTTTAAAACTATTTAATCAAGCGTTGGTCGGATGTTATTATAAGAAACAAAAAAAATAAAAACAAATAATGAGGTTAAAACCAATGTTGTTGGAGAAGAGGTGAAGTATGGAGAAAAAAAGCATAAAACCTCCAAACAATGCATATCATGATTGAGCTGCATTTATTAATGTCGTTTAGATTGAAAATAAAAGGAATAAAAAGAAAAAAAAAAACTGAACTACAAAAAAAGGAATGCATATTCCATTATGAAAACATGTTTCACAGATGTAAACATAATGTATGGCAAACGAAACAGCATCTAGCCAATAAGCTACCGTTGAAAAGAGGACATACTCCATTACTATGTAGACATTAAGGGCATCCTCACATGCATCATAAAATTTGACAAGGTTTTTATGCCCAGACAAAGCTTTTAGTATTTTCACCTCCCTACGAACATCTTCAATTGCAACAGCTGTAGTCATCTGCTACAAAACTATACCAGATTAGCCATTCTGCCTATGTGAAAAATGATAGTTCTGAAAAAAATTTATCTAATTATTAATGAACTAATGAAAATAAAATTCTGAATAAAAAACCAGCAGAAGGAACTATTACATAACCAGTATAAACTTCATATACTACCATGCGGTCTTTTGATATTGGAATTAACCATCAATAGAAATAAAAGTCATGGATGAGATCTTAACAAGTTTTGTGCTATATTGACAAGTGTTCGTCATTCATTTGTTGGTAGCATAGGTTATAACATCCCTAATGGTCTCTTATTCAAGGTAGTTGTTAGTGTTTTCCCACAATAATCTTATGTTTTTTTAAAAGATAGGAATACTTCATGGAGGAAAGATAGCCAAACATTGTGAAAGATGTAACTAGCACTTGTCACTATTGTATAAACAATTACCTTTCAAGCAATTCCCTTACAACATAAGCAATGACCAACATTAGCAAACACAAAAAACTAGCAATTAAGAGTGGAGCGAAAAAAGAAGATTAACCACTCCGCATTGCTAACAAACACAAGAACCTAGAAATACAATGCTGAAGCGATATAACACATGCCCCATTAATTTACAAAGTGTGCTTCACAGCCATTGAGACAAACATTCTTTGGCATCATTTACTAAAATTTGACTTGATGCTTTATTAAAGATAACATGAAAAAATTTCATAATCCTCAACTGGCCCTCATTACATTTGAAGCTTTAGCTCCTTTCTGCAACTCTCATTTATCCTCTCAAAGATCATATTTAGTGTTACCCATTACCATATTAACAATGGTTTGACTTTAAAACTAAAGGTGGACTAGAGTTACAAGGATTAGGGTTAGTGGAAGCCTAGGAAAGTTGATGACTGATTTTAGAGTTCTAAAAGAAAAATTAAATTAAAATTTTATGGCAGGTTTTCACATATAGAAAGATAAAAAGAAATTCAAATAAAAAATTTAGGATGTTAGTCAACTAGTGGTGATGATTGTAGTTTCACTGGATAAATGGTTAGGAAGTTATGAATTTTCTTTGTGCATTGTTCACAATCAATGGACAATGATGTGTATCCAATGTGTATGTTATTTCTATTTTATTTTTATATTATTCGTGTTATTTTTATTCATGACATTTATGGTTGTATATGCAGTGTACACGTGATTATGCAGCTTGGGGAGTAAAAGAGATGCAGCGACCTCAAAATGGGATGAACCGGGACCGAGCACCGGTCTTGGGCGCTAAGGCGCCCAGAACCAGAAAACCAGGAGCCCAAGCGCCTTAAACCAGAGCAACAAGCGCCAGTTTTGGGTGCCTGTATGGGTTGGATTACAGTTTAGAAATCTCAATTCCAGTCTTTTCTCATATGAGGAGTTAAATTGGCCTAATATCAAGCATTGAAGGCTTTTGGGAGGAGAAGAGACCGAAAGGAACAGGAAAGGGCAAGCCACGACAAAGGGTGTCACCGAAAAATAACCGAGAGTAGCCGGAGCACTTCAAAGAAGAATCCATAAGAGTTTTGTGAGTGTGAGGAGTGCTCTCTTCGTAAGATTGTTCTAACTTGTACTTTCTTTGATTTTGAAACAAATTTCTCGTTATGTTTCTTTCAAATGAGTAGTAACTAAATTTTTCACTCCCTTGAGTTGGTAACCTATGTAAGGAAAAACTATCCTTGTAGTGTGATTAATTTATTGATTGTAGAATATGTAAACATTTTGCTTCTAATTTACTCATAAACTGGTCACTTAGAATTTTAAAAGAGGTTGGGGTCTAGTAAAACGGAAGTAGACTGGTGAAACAATTATGTTAACATACAATTATTTATAAGAATATGAATATTGTTGGAAGAGTGGTGCAATCGAGTAAGAAAACATGAAACACATAAGTTTTTGCATGGTCAGAAAACCTACTATAATATGAAACACCAATATTTCTTAAGACCATCGGACGAGGCTACGAAATACTATTGTTCCTGATTGGCAACAACATTTGAGCCATATGGAAGGGGCTAAATTGCTATGTCCAATTCAAGGGAGATTTCCTCACTTGATTAAAACCCTAAAGCTTAGTAGGTTTCAACTCTTTACAAAAATTAAGTTAGTCGCTTTCAAAAATTCACCCAACTTTAATTCTTCAAGCTGCAACTTTAATTTTGATGACTAATTGATATGGTTTTATAAATAAGTTTTTTAATCCAAATTATTTCGTCCAAACTCACATAATCAGCCCCTCTAATTCTAAATAAAACTAAAAAAAATAATAATTACAACAGTTTGCCATGAAATTGAGCCTTAATTTTTTGATATAGTGATAGAGCACCTCATTCTTCCTCTGATATGCCTTCAGTAGAGATGAGTGAGAAGGAGGAGGGTTCAAAAAATAAATCCAAAATGATTTTAGATGTTGATGAAAACATAACTTCAACTATCCAAAAAAAGCAAAATCATTGATGGAAGTGAATTTGACGCCTCTAATTCAAAGACAAACAGATAAGCAATATCAGCTAATGGGTTTCTAGATTGACTATAGCTTATTAATTTAAGCTCAAATTATGGATTGGAATAGTGGGGAGAACTAAACATAAATTTTTTAGGGCTGCATGAAGCAAATTAAAGCAAGAAAGTTAAATCAATTAGCTGAGAAAATTCCAACGAGAAAAAAAAGAAAAAAAATCAGATTGGAAACAATCAAAGGGGGCAGTTAATAACTAAAACGTAGAAAAAATCACCGAAATTATTAAGAAGAAAAAAAAAATTCAACATACCGACGCACCTTAGCTTTGGAAATGATCTTCACAGCTACGATCTGTCCCTTCATGTCCCCCTTCCTCACCCTCGCTGTGCAAGTATGGCCGAAATGCCCCCGCCCCACCTCCTTCCCGAGCTCATATTTAGCCCCAAAGTGCTTCCCGTACCCAAATGTCTTATCCAAAGGCCTCTCCACCTCAGGTGACGCAGCTACAGCCCCGACATCCTCGACGATAGTTCCCTCTTTAGGCTTCGCCGCTCCAAAGCGCTTCACAAGCGAAGCCTTAATGTGCTTAGCAGGTGAAGGAGGGGGGAATGGTCGGCGAAAGAATCGGCGAGGAGTAGACCTAGCGGGCGAAGGTGCGATCCCTGCCGGAAGGGGGCTCCCCGTGGCGGAGCCCGGCGGGTATGGACTAGGCCAGAAGTTACCCAACGAATGGTGGAGCGGCGTAGCCGCAGTCGGCGTGGCCGCGGAGGACGAGAAGCCATTAGATGGATGCGTCGGCGTGCTTCTCCGGCGATGGTGGCGACTGTTCTCCACTCCATCCCCATCCTCCTTCACAGATATGTTCTTCCCTTGACACTGACCCATTCCCCCGCCACCGTCTTCTCCGGCGGAGACTACTTTCCGGCGAAACCTATCCCTCTTCTCCTCGTCGAGGGATCAAGGTTCGGATTCTTGGGATCGGAGAGGTCAAAGATCGACCAACAAAGCGTGGCAAACGTCGAGAGCGTTTAAAAAAAAAAAGGAAAAATTTTAATTATTAATTCCTTTATTTTGCTAACACGGTAAAGCCGTCACTAAATCCTTCCTAATTTGCATGAACGCCCGCTTAATTTAAACAAATTGCATCTGGATGCTGAAGTTGAAACTTCAAAGTCAATGCTAGATTTATCATTAGCTTGCTGCCCTTTTGAATGTTGGTTTGTAAATAGTATTTTATGTGAAAGGCCCTCATTGGGCCGCATATCCCAGACTTGTTGATTGGCATCCACGGTATAAAACCCTCCATGTTGAGGGTTTGAATCCCCTCAGACACAATTGACCTTAAGAATGTGGTACTTGAATTGTTAGCTACATTAGGGGTGGCTAGAGGCTCGTACAATAGCATATATACATATATATGTGATCTCTTAAGGATCTTCTCAAAAGACAAAGTTTAGCTCAAATTTGTATAATGACTATAGAACAAAAATGAAACTAGTTTGCAAAATGATAAAACTAGATTAGATAGATAATATTTATTAGGGAAAGTTACATACTTACCATATAGATCTTATTATTTATTTATCTCACGCCCAGAGTTTGATATTTAACTTATGACACGTTGGTGTTATAAACTATGAATGAAAATACATATTTCACTTCTAAAAAGATAGTGACAGGGGTATTAATATAAATATGTTGTATCATGTGTAATTTTTTTATTTTGCATTCGACTGAATTAAATTTTTAAATACAAACTACCATTTATAGACAAAATTCTCTTGGAATTATAATGTTTAGATGATAATAAGATTTTTTTTTTATATGTTTCTCAAAAATTATTTAGATTATGAGACATGACAATACCCTATTCTTGATAAGTACAATCTTGATGACTTTGAATCTCATTTTGGTTTAACTACCAACTTGCCATTTGACTTAGCTCAATCTGGTGCTTAGGCTCTTAAATCATTAAATAAAACTAAAAAATATATATTATAATTATGAAAATAATATTTCAAAATATTTTTAATATTTTATTTAATATATTTAAAAAATGAATACATATATTTTCTTGGATAACTAGCATCTTAATTTTGTCTAATAAAAATAAAAAATAATCTCATTAAAAAAATATTAATATGAAGAGGACAATCTCATTTTTACATATTTTATATTTAAAAATTATTTTTATTAAGAATATTTATTTTTTAGTTTTTTAACATATTCTTATATTGTACACTATATAACATAAAAAAAGATGTTAAAAATATATTAAATTAATAAATAAAAAATATTTAAAATGTCAGCCTTTTATCAAGACAGTAAAATTTACTCACTAAAACAAAATTGTTATTGTATTTTTAATTTATGATAATAATGGCATTTTTTAAATAATTAATATTTATTTAATATAGAAGTTTGGAAGGTTAGGACTCAATAAATTACAGCCAAATTTGCGGTGAAGTTGGGGTTTTATTTATTTATTTTTCCTCTTTTTTTGTTTATTTCATAAACGCAGCTTTCATTAATTAATGTCGATGATTAAGATTAACATAACAATAAGCAACCTATAATGATTTTTATTTTCTTAATAAATTGCTCCAAGAGAACTGTAATTCAATTCTGACGCTTCCCATGTTTTATTATCATCACTCCAAAAAAATAATAAAATAATAAAAATTAAAAAAAAATTATTATCACTAAAAGATTTTTTATTACTAATACAATTATTTATTGGATTGTTTATATATATATATATATATATATATGCCACACACACATTTTCATTATTCAACTAAATTTTCGAAGTATGACACGGATCTTAAGATAATATTTTGAGCAACGAATGTTCAAACATTGATAAAAACTCATCCATAGCTCAGATTTCAACAAACTTATAGTCAAACTGATCGGCTCGATGAGACGAACCTAATTATATCAAATTCAGTCTAATCGGAGTCAAATCAAGTCCAAATCAAGTCATTAAATCATTTATGAAAATTTTTCGGACACATTGGGAAGGTCAAACTGATGTCGAATCTAACAAGTTTATAGTCAAATCGAGCGTCTCGAAAAGATGAATTCAACGAACCCCATCAACGAACCCAAGATTGCTCAACATTGTTAAGGCACTCAAATGTCCATTAAACACAGTCTGATTGAGGGAATCTCTTCGAACCGTTCGATAAAAATGGTTTATATTATTACATTAATGACACTCATAATACTATAAATAGACCCTTACCCCTCTCATGAGGGGGAGCTTGAGCCTTGAGAGAGAGACTTGAGGCTTGGAGAAGGAGCTACATTATCCCTACCACCGTCGATCTCCACCGACAGCCATCAACCACCGCCTATCACCGTCGATCATCCCTAACCGTCGTTGACACTCGCCAACAGCCGCTGACTATCGCTGACCACCTTTGACAACCACCAATCTCCGTCGAGCACTACTGACATTGTTAACCACAGTCGATCATCGCTGACCGTCGTTGACACTTGCCAACAGCCCCTGATTATCGCTGACCACCTTTGACAACCACCAACCTCCGTCGAGCACTACTGGCATTATTAAACACTGTCAACCACCGTCAATCGTCGTCGTCCCCCGTCAATCACCATTTATCCTCATCAAGCACCATTAATCAGATGTCGTCAGTCGAAGTGTAACTTGAAAAATCTAGTAACTCTTTCACGTTTGTGGGCCAAGAACTTATCATCATGGTCCATGTGCAAAAAATAACATATGTGGTCGTTAACTCATGCAGCTCCCAATTCCAGCCATCGCGGCTTGCGAACGTCATTTATACTCGCTCCTAGGACCTACATGATTAACAGCTCGTGTAGCTCCCGACTCTGGCTCGACGGCCTACGGTCGTCATTCATACTCAACCCAATGAATACGTGGTCACCAGCTCGTGCAGCTTTAGACTCTGGCCCTCACAACCTACAAACGTCGACCTACATGGTTCACAGCTCGTGCTGCTCCCTTCTCCGGCTCCCGTGTCCTACGGATGTCATTCATACTCGCCCCTAAAGCCTACGTGGTTCACAGCTTGTGCAGCTCCCGACTCCGGCCCCCACGACCTACGAAGGTTATCCATACTTGCCACTACAGCCTATGTGGTCCACAACTCGCAACTGTTTACAAATGTTTCTCTAGCCAATCAACGCTTTGGACAGACTGCTACCTCCACAACAGTTAACAATGACTCTTGCAACCTGCTGTCACAAAAAACTGCCACCAGATTATAGATATACAAGTTTATAATTTCTTCTTCCCTAATTTAGGAGAAAAATAAACATGTGTACTCATCATTCATAGTTGATTATTTTAACTGGGCTAGACCCCGTGATTTTTCCCCCCTTTCAAGGATTTTCCACGTAAAAAAGTCGAGGTATCTCCTTTTGCTTACATCTCTTCTTTTATCTGTGTTGAATTCTAGTGCAATGCTAAAACAATAATTCATTACTCTACCGCCACGAATTTTCTAGCACGTAAAAAGTAGATGTATATATATATATATATATAATTTTTCATCTTTTTCATGAAAGAAAGTGAAATATTGGTCGTCTACTTTGGAGAACATGATATTCACTTTGATATATGCAATAAGGTGGGCAAAATATAAAATTGATTGAATTTTTTTTTTATTTTGTATATATAATAAAATGAATTCAATAATTTTAAGATTTATTTTTATTACAATTTGATTAGAATATTCATATCCAAAATGTATCCATAATTGCATTGCAAATTATTCCTACTCTTTCTATTATAAAATGGCAATATTTTTTTTTTTTAATGACCAGAGGCTATTATACGAACCTCCAACCACTCTTAACGTGCCTAATAATTCACGTCGCAACAGGTATATACAAGTTTATATATTTGCACATAAACCACCCTTCTTAATGCTCACGTCGCAACAGGTATATTCAAACAACTATCTGAGACTTACACATGAATGCCAACCAACAAGTCGGAGTACGCATCACCTATAAATAATGCCAATATATATATATATATATATATATATATATATATGGGTGTTTAAATTAAATATGAAAAAAGTAGAATCTTACATGAATGTATAGCATCAAAACTATAAAAAATTAAAAAAATTTATTATATTAAACAAAATAAGTTAGAAGGACATATAGTTAATATAAGATAACTAAAAACAGACATAAATTTTGATCACATACCAAAAAATATATTTAATTTCTAAATTGAATAAAAATAAGATTTTATAAATAGAAATTATTTGCTAAAAAAAAGGTAAAAAATAAATTTAATACATCAAATATTACTAAAAAATGAATAAAAAGAAGAATTCTCAATGCCTTCTTAAGATAATTAAGTAAAAAAACTACTGATAAGACTGCAATTTATAAAATTATTATCCCTTGAGAGCTGAAAATGATTGGCAGTAATTAAAATAAAGATGTCATTAGCAAACTTAACTCTCCATAGTTATCCTAATGATATAATAATAATGGTTATTTTAGTGTGATATTAGCTATGTTGACAAGCATTAGTTGACTTTTGTTAGTATAATGAAGATAAAAAATGGACAAATGAAAGGGGTTTTTTTAGATGATTTACATACATATCACTTAATTAACCCTGTGTGTGTACATATATAGCACAACGGGATTCGAACCCCCAACCCGAGGGACTTACGCTAGAGGCCGCACCAATGAACCGAGTCTCTCGCACAATATATATATACACATATAAATCATTTTTTACGTATATGCTATCATGCCTATGCATGAAAAAGTGTGTTTCACTTTTGTTTTCAAGCTAAAAAAAAGGTATTTTTATGTAATATGGAAGATTTGGACGGTATACATGTTAAAAAGTAAAGTTCAGGTCTTAGAAATGTAAATAAATTGGACTTGGGTGGTCTGTGTGTAAATGTCCCATTTTTTTTTAATGAAAATTTGAGGTTCATGACATATTGGTGGGTCCCATCCTTGATTTAATTAAATGAAATAAACTGAAAATAAATATTTTCCATAATTTATTTGCTGTGCTTAAAAAATCTGTTTTGTGATTTTTGAATCAGTCTATTAGTTGGATATTCTTTTTAAATGTTGTTTATGAACCTTTCAAAAGTGATTTAAATGTTTACTTTTAATTATTTTTCTTTTAACTGTTTTTGAATTCCGAAATGTCATTCAGTTCACAGTTAATGAATAGAGCGTTGGTCGGATGAGAGCAAAAAGTAAAGGTAAATGAATGAGAGTAAGTGACAAATAGTACTAATTATCCGGGAATAGATTTAGCAGTCTTTCACGTGGAAATGACCCACCTATTTATAGATCATAGAAGGTGTTTAGGCAACTACATGATTGTTCTTCATGTAATGTGAACATTTACATATTTGTAACCGACTTTAACATCTTTTGACCCTCGTAACTATTGTTGACTTCATTTCATATTCCAAACTGTTTGATCGGCTTCTCTGAGAGAGCCCCTTATGAAGACCCATTATTCTTAGGAAGGGTTATTCCATCAGACAAATGATGCTTCATTGTAATCTGATGGGCAATCTTCCTTTGGTTGAGAGATCTTGAAAAAAGGTCATGTGGGAGTTTTGCAAAGCTAATATTGATCCTGTGAGTGCCCTTGCATCAGTTTAGTTGTCGTCGGTCTAGATATGTGTTGTTCTTTGATTCAGACAAACTTTCATTCGGTCGACTCATGATTCAACTGATCAAAATGATGCTAGATACGCTCAATTGAATTTTCTCAAGATTCATGCAGTCACATTTCCGATGTATAATATTTGGCTAAGACTATAAAAAGTTTTTTGTATAATCAATTTTAAGGAAATAGAAAAATTGAATTGATGCATTTTAATAATTTTTTTTTCCTTTAGCACGAATCTCGAGATATTTATATGCAAGAAACGATCCAGGTTCAAATTAAAAATCATTTAGCGCCCCAATTTCAGTGAGTTATAATCAAACTGATAGTCCTGACAAGATGAACTCAATGATAGTAATATTTGTTCAATTTGAATCCAATCAAGATCAGATCAAGCCATAAAAGCGCTTTTAGAGGTTCTGGATTGTCAATTGGATGGTCAAATGAACTATAAATTTGACATATTTTTATTCAAATCAAACGTCTTGATGAGAGGAATCTAAAGAACCAAAGTTCATTTAGTTCTGAGGTCATTAAAGCCCTCAAATCATTTAAAAAAACCTCATTTAATCAAAAGTGATCAGTATAAGCCGCTCGACCAGTTGGTTGAGAAAGTTAGGAACTAAGAGACTAACATGCCTCTACCCGAGTGGCTATAAATAAACAATTTCTCATCAATCGATGGACTACGAGAAAAGAATAGATTTCAAAGCTTGTTCTGGACTAAAGACCCAATGGTAGCTTTTGGCATTCGTACTCGCTAACCCCAGCTCGTCGGTCGCCGTCAACCACCATTGACTGCTTATGCTTACCTTTGTTGATAAATTCTAATTCCCATCGTTTTATCTGAAATATGCTTGTATCACATAATACTGTATTAAAGATTCAACAATAACTTTCGATTGTTCTGCTTACGATCATCGTATTCATGATGATTTTTTCTAGACTCTTGAAGCTTCCTATACGTTGAAGTGTTGTATTTGGTATAAAGTTATAACACTACTCTACTAGTTGTGGAAATTAGTGTAACTTTATAATTACTTATAGCGGATTGCTTTGTTTTGGCCAGACCACGAGGTTTTTTCCATATAAAAAATCTAGACGTCCGTGTGTGTTGGATCTTGGTGCAATGCTAAGACGTTAAACCATAACTCTCCTGTCATTAATCTCTCATCACGCCACAAGGATGAAAGGTGAAAAATAATTTTTTTAAAAAAAATTCTTATGCTAAAATTATAAAAAATATTTGCTACCCCACAAAAAGTCTAATATTGTGAGTTGAAAAACCCATAGCATAAGTTTGACCTTGTCATTGGCCTAATATTCTTACAAATATCCTCTAAATTTATTTTTGGGATCAAAATACTCCTAATAACTCCTCATATAAGTAGACAATCATTAAAACCAAAATGAATTATCTTCTTTCTTATTGACTTTAATTGATTAACATTTTAAAAATTAAAATAGTGATATTTTTTATTTAATATGAAAATTTTGGAAGGTATAAATGTAAGGAAGTAATGTTTAGGAGTTATATAAGTAAATATATAGAATTGGGTGGTATGCATGCCAAAGTTGTTGTGTTCAATAATATTTTTTTATTTATTTTAAAAATTATGAGATTTTTCTTCCCCTTCTTTAGAAAACTAGCTTACAATTTTCTAATTAAATAGTAAAAGTTTTCTATGCGTTGTCTTACAAATAAAGAATTATTTTGATATTACTCTAATATAAATTTTAATTTTGTAATTGTATGCTATATTTATATTAAAGTAGGTTTATATAAATTAATCATTATTAAATCCAAATAAGAATACTCTAATGAATAATTTCTTCATCTATAAACACTATTACCATAGGTTCGCAGTCGCTGTTGCTTGACCACCACCTTGTTGCCACCAGACTGTCATTGTTTGGCCAGCAAACCACAACAGGCTGACCACCATCGTTGCCACCTCAAGACCAATGTCGGACCACCACTACATGGCTGCCACCGGCGCCGAAACAACATCGTCGCTGCTAGAACCTCATTGCCCAACCACAACCGCCGTCAAGTTATAGCTACCGACAAAGCTTACATTCAATTTTTTGGTGTACGACATCTACTGTTAGTTTTCTTTCATAACAACCATGTCTTCGCTACCACACAGGCTTGTCTTGCCATTCACTTAGCGAAAATCACATTAATAGCCCTCACCTGTGTAATATTGCTTCCGACTTCAAGGGTTGATGAAATTTCATAACATACCTCAACATAGTTGAATTCTTTTAACTCAGTTAGGCCCAGTGGCTTTTGCCATTTTGAATTTTTCACCCAAAAAAATCATGTTGTTAGCTCATTTTGGATCTTCTTACAATATTAAGACGTTAATATAACACTCCATCATCACAAATTCACCAACACACAATAAGAATTTCAAATACATCCAAATATAAAAACAATAGCTCAGATTGTACAAAAAGTTAATTATGATTTTAAAATTATATAAAAAAAATATTAAGATAGAATTAATCATAAGTCTGCAACTGATATCTTGCATGCATTTAACATAAATGTAATCATAAAATATGTTGGCAATTAAAACTTATTGATACCACATTTAAAGGTTACTCCAAAATCATTCAAATACATGAAATAGCATATAGCTGACATGTCATAACATATTTAATTATTCTTAAAAATTTTTAAAATAAAATTTAAATATTAAGATTACTTTTAAAAATAAACAAATTTATTTTTCAAAACAAAAAAAAAAAACATAAAAAATACACTAAACAAATATATATTTAAAATAAAAGAAAAAAAAAAACAGTACTCAACAACTCACTAACAAAAACAAACAATAGAAAACAACATTTCGATCAACTCATAAACTCTTTATTGCTGCCATTTCAGATAATTCTATGAAGCTTTCTACAAATGAATCACACAAAAGAAAAAGAAGAAGAAACAATACAATGGAAGAACAAAACCATAGTTAGTAGTAAAGAACAATACAAGGAAGCTTGATCAGCCTCTTTCAACTCCAATGTCAAACAAGATGATGACATTTTTTTCTCATCTGAAAGAAGAAATATGCTTCCAACTGAATGAACGACGATGGGTCACTTGCGGCGTGAAGCTAAGCCCAAACATCTCCTTAAGCGCCTTCTCTGGCTCAAGGAGATCAATGAGCTTTGCCACAAGCAAAGCACTCTCTCTGATCTCTTCGATGTCGGTCGTGTCGGTCCATAGCCGCCGAGCCAGCTGCATTCGACGCTGTTTGGAGGCCAACTTGATGCCCCATTTGCGGTAAAGTTGCTCCCTTTCCTTCGACGAGAGCTTCTTCATCATTCTCCTATGAAGCATGTCTCTCTCGCGTCGAAGATTCTTTATGCTGCATGCAATAAAAGTTATGTGGTGGTTTATGTCAAGAAAAAAAAATATCTACATGGTTAAATATGTGAAAACCAAGTTTATAGAAAGTTGCTTCTATTTATGTCAAAGTCAATATTCTTTTCTAGAGTTATATCACATGATTTATCCGGAACAATGAAATAGAAATAAGATTACGCGCACAAAACACACGAAGATGTTTATACATGTTCATCGAATTGATGATTACATTCTAGGATCATTGCTGTTGATTTCAATATAATTTTGATTTTGGAGTTCTTAAAGGCTTAACTCTTCAATATTAACTAAAAATATAATGAAATGCTCAATTATTGAAACAAACTCTTGAATATTGGATACTACTAACCCTCGAGAGGAGAACTCAACTCCCCACATAAAGCCCGCATGATTACTTCACTGTAAAAGTCTGTCCATGACTAAATCTTTGCGGGATAATTCTTCGTAAGACATTTATTAAGCTTCACAAATTAAAAATTTTGACTTTGCAATAACGATTGAGTAAAGTGTCAAAATAGACCCATGAATATGAAGCTATTTTAATTGAAATGTCTATAAAAGTACCAAATTAATTCTTACACTCTTTTAATGGGAGCTAAAATAGTCATCCATGGAGAATATTTCAACCCATATTAAGAAAATCTAGGGACTAAATTGATATTTTTATAGAGAGTGGGACTAAAATGCAACCCTACAAAAAGTCACGGACCATTTTGACACTTTTCTCATTAACAATCTTACCTTACAAACCTAATCTCCTCTCTCTCTCTCTCTCCAAATAAAACCAGCACCCTATAATATATGACTCTCTCATTTTACAATTTTTTTATTTTTTATTTTTTTTGTCATCATCATTGATATTATTATTAAGTAATTTTATGTATTCAAACTTTAAAATGTAAACTTAATTTCATTTATAAAATGTGCACCATATCAATAAAGTTCTCACCTTGAAGAAAGAAAGTTATTTCCACTTTCTTGAGAAATCGTCTTCTTCAGAAAGGACAGCCTCCTACGCTCTACTTCCATGTAAATAGAGTCAGCAGGTTCGCCATTAAAGAGCAGGAAGAAATAAGTCCTGTGGATCAGAGGGACATTGCAGGCGTCCCACAGTTCAATAATCTCTTTCTGTAGCTTTTCAAATTCCATATCCCACTGAGAAAGAGATTCTGAAGAACACAACGATGGATCTGCAGTATCTGCAGTGAAGTCTTTTGTAATTCTCTCAATCTTAATGTTTTCAAGAGAAACATTACGCATCTCCTGCAATAACAAGAACAAAAAAGCACAGAAGGTCTTGAATAATGGAAATGGCAGTAAAAGCAAATTGGAAAGGCTGTGAGTTTCTTATGATAAAAAAAATATAATTTGTTAAAATAAAATGAAAAAGTTGGTTTTTTTATCAATTAAAAAAGCTTCATATGGTGATTTGCTTAAGATGTTTTTTTTTTTCCATCAAAAGAGGTACTCGAGTTCCCATCTAGCAGATGGCATTATGAACGAAAAATTAGATTTTTATTTTATTTTTTTGATTCAGAAATAAGAAAAGCCACATAAAATATTTAATAGTAAAACATGAATGTCATATATCATTTAAGCCAAATTTACCCACCCGTTTCTTAGTCAATTGTCTCTGATATTGAACATGAGCCATTTTATTCAGCCCCTCAACAAAGTTAGAAATGCTTGGAATGTCCACTTCAAAAGAATCCCCACAATGCTTTGCGCTAACCTTATTGTCATTATCAGGTCCCTTCACATCCTGAAATTTGCACTCCCCACCCGAAAATTTTTCTGATTTCTGAAGAATTTCCAAAGGAGCTTCAGTTTCAGTACGACGAATCGGAGAAAAATTCCGAATGTTTTCTTCGAAATTCCGAAGGCCGAAAGAAAAATTTCTCTTTTGATGCTTCAGACTCAATTCTTGATCCTCTTTTACTCGAGCTATAAAGGATTTGGGTATCAGACACTCATAGTCCTCATCCAACAAAAGACTGAACTCATCCTTGTTCGCATTCAAATCCATTATTTCGATGCACTGAACCTCTTTGCAGTGTTCTTCAGAAGTATCGGATGCAATCTCCTGGGCTCGTGAAGTATTATACGGAATGTAACTTGCATTGCTCGCTGAGATTTCGAACCCTGATGTGGTCGCCGGCGGCTGTAGAGTCATATCATAGTAATGGTTTGAATGTGGTATTCGGCACTTTGAAATGCTGAATTCAGGACTCTGGTAACAAATGCCGGAGGCCTCGGATACCGATGACTCATCTTCGGAAGTGCCGGCGCGATAAAAAGATGGCTGGCCAGATTCATCCTATAGGATGGAGCGAAAAAGAGAAGATATAAGCTTAAGCTTGAAGATCACAGTATGTTTGAGCATATTCTAGCACAATGTTCAAGTACCCAATGTCTAAAAGCATGATCATTAGATGTAAGCTGCACTAAGAGCCGGTTTGATTCTTCCTACAACAGAAATGAGAAAAAAATTAGTTCTAGGAGCAGGAAGAATGAGAAGTATATAAATAGTGAAATTCACCTACAAAACCACTCTTTCTGTGTATTTACATATCTAACACCTAAAGTTTGCTATTTACATTTTGTAATACTTTGGTATCATAAACTTCAAATATGAAAAGATGAATTTTTCTTTTTAAAAGTTAATAATAGTAGTATTTTTTTATGTAATATTAAAGATTTAAGTGCCGCGCATGTAAATATTGAAGTTTTAGGTGTTTGGTGTGTCAATGGATAATAGGGGCATTTACTTACATACCATCAAATTCCTAAGTATTCTATGTATCTAACATCTAAACTTTACATTTATACCACACAAATCTCTCTTATCACATCACAAATACCACAATTTTAACTTAAAAAATTAAAATACACATTTTCACCTAAAAGTTGCTATTT